AAATAATAAATTTTTAAAAATATTATTATATATTATAAATTTTAAAATATTTATTTATTTAATCATTAGAAAAAATTTAGTTTATTATATTTATTTTATTATTTAATTAGATTCAGATAAATTTTAATATTAATAATATTTTTCAATTAATAATGAAATTGATTTATATAGTAAAAAATTAAGAAATACAAAATTTAAAAAATGATACGCTAAATAATCAGCATTAAAAACCGTATACAGTCAAATCTTGATATAGTGAACCCTTGATATAGCAAATTTTTAAATCAAATATATTAAAATTACCTTTACTATAGTGAACTAGCCAATTAAATTCTTTAAAAAATTCGTTATAAGCTTATAACGAAGTTGATATCCAGATTCTAGAATTCGTTATATCAAGAGTTCACTGTAAATTAATATCATTCATTAAGTAAATAATCAGCATTTAAAAATAAATGATTTTAATACTATAAATTTTCTTTGTAATAGAAAGAGCAGAAACTTTACTAATAAAAATTGATCAATAAATTTATTTTTGAAAATAATTGTTTTTATTATTATAGATTATGAATCTTTTTATATATAACTAAACTTTTAAACTCAATTATTTCAATGTAGAGATTTTTTCTTTTATTTTATTATAAAGCATATATATAATTATAATTTAATCTAATAATTTTTTCTTTTATAAAAATTTTTGAAAAAATTATTTTATTAAAATTTATAATAATTTTATATATTTAATTTAAAATAAAAAAATTTTAAAAATCAATTAAATAAAATTTATTAAATGATTATTATTATATTAAGAGTTTATTTTTAAAAGTATTTTAAAATTTAGAATTAATTCATAAAAATTGCAAAATATTTATAAAATATCAACTTTTATTAATAAAATAAATCAACTTTAAAAGATTTGTAAAAGTTTAGATAAAATAAATGAAAAGAAATAAAAATCAATATAATATTTAAAAGAATTATAATCTAAAGCTAAATATCAGAATAGCTAAAATAAGAGACTAGATGAAAATAGAAAACTAAAATTAGTAAAAACTTTATTACAAATATATATTAAATAAAGTATTATTTAAAAATATATATAAAAAAGTTTATAGTAGTTCTATATTTTTGATAACAATAATTCTTATAAATTAGTATATCAAAAATATGAAAAGCATAGGTAGAAATACATATTTATAATAATTGGAACTATATAATTTTTACTAATAAAATAGCATTTAACTTTTTGAAATAAAGTCTATTATAACATAAAAATAGTAATAAATCCATCAGATAGTTATAAAAATCTTATCAAAAGTAATAAAATAAAAAGATATTTTTCAAATCTTTATTTATTTATAAATATAATAAATAAGCTATTTTATATAAGTATTTTATTTGCTGCATAAAACATATATAAAAGGAATTAACATTTGTAATAAGATATTGATTTAAGTATACATTATATTGTAACAGAATAAATTATTGATTGATAATCCTAATATTAATTTTATTTTTTATAGATCATCTTATAGATCAATTTTTAATTTTGTTTTTCTTGATAATCAATATAAATCAATATAGATTTAGATGTTAACTTAATTTCTAGTATAATAGGTAACTTTATTATTATTATCATTTTGTTAATTATTTTGTCAACTTTATTTTTTATTAATATACCAATTTTATTTCTTTTGATATATTTAATTTATACTATTTTATTAATCTCTGTATTTTTATCAAGTTTCAATATTTTTATATAAAGAACTTTATTATCATATTAATAATAAGTATAATTAATCAAGTAAAACTTATATTTTGTAACCCTTTAACCTGTTTGTAAATTTATATTATTTATTAACTTTATGTAATATTGTATTAATTTGTTATATTGACTAACAAACGCAATCTCTGAAATATCTAGAAGTTACTAGTATTTAATTAGGAATATTTTTCAACATTACTGTAAATTTTTGTATGTGATTCCTTAAGTATAGTTTTAATTTTATTTATTTTTATTTATTTTAATCTGAGTTACAAAATAAACATAACAATATATTATTAAGGAATTTATTACTAAAAATAGATTTTATGTAATTTATTAGACATTTAATAATCCAGATTTAAATCCTATAGAAAATATATAACAAATAATAAAAATGTTATTGAGAAACAAATATCATAAATATTAATAAATTAACAAATTTTTAGCTAAAAAAATAAAAGGTAATTTTATAGAAAACAGTTAATAATTTAGTTTTTTTTTATGAAAAATAGATATAAATCTGTTTTAATAAAAAATGATAATAGAATTTCTATTAAAATTTTATATCTAATAAAGTAATTAATCTACTTTCAAATAAATTTATAATTAAATAAGTTTGGATTCATATTTGTTAAGATATATAATTTTTTATTACTGCTATTTTTTTTGTAATATATTATATAAATAATAAATATATATTAATATATGGGAGGTTTGCTAGGAAAATAAGGTTCTGAGCATTTTTTATTAAAATTTTAATATATATTGCATTTTAATCTAACATTATTAAAAATTAAAATGCAATAAAAATTAAAATTTTAATAAAAATTTCTCAGACCCATTTTCCTAGCAAACTTCCCATATTCTAAAATATTTATAAAATCTATTATAAAATTATTATTATTAAATTAATTATCTCTTAAATGGTAAGAATTTTATTTTTATTTAAATTTTAAAAATAGCCTTTAATCAAATTATAATATAAAATTTTATATTATATTTAAAATTAATCTAAATTTGAAGGCAAAATATTTTAAGAGATAAGTTCTTTTTTTTATTAAAATTTGATTAATAAATTAATTTTTTTTGATAAAATATAATAAATAATAAAATTATCAGATAAATTAATAAAATTTATAAATTAATTATATTTTATTATAATTCTTTTAATATTGTTTTATATAATGCTAAAATTTAATATTCTATTCTTTTTTTTTTATTAAAAACCTTGTAAAGCATATAAATTTACATGTACTGTATTACTTAACTCTTTAAATATTTAAATAATATGGCCAAAGCAAATAAAATGATTAACCTACAAGAATTTTTTGAAGTTTAATAAAAAAAAAATTTTAAGAGAATAAAAAACTTATTGCGAATATCCGTACCAACCGATTTAACCAATAGACCGCATTACATAATTTAATATAAATAAGAAGCACCTGACAACAATTAAGCAACTCCCACTTTTGCTATAGTAACAATAGCTATCGCAAAATCCACACAATACAGGGGGTTTTCATTATGCAGGGTCAAGGTACGACATATACCGAAACATTGCATTGATGAGATGATCAAATAGATTCTTGACCTTACAATATCTTTTTTCAAATTAAAGTACAAGCAACTATGTAATACAATTGTAGATAATTACATATTATAAATGGAATGTAACAATTCATACCATAAATAAAACTTCAAGAAAGGAAACAAAAAAAGATATATAAATAAATATATCGAAAGCCAATAAATGTTTTCCGATGAACAATTGGTATAGAAGAAGGCGGATGCAATGTATAATAATATTTAAGTTTATCTATTGACATATTAACCCATCCCGTGTATTTAAATGAAAATTGCCGAACATCATCTTTTAGTTTTTCATTCATGTGTGTAAGATAAAACTTATGCAATGAAATGAAGTATTTGAACCTTAAATGGGTTCGGTGGTCAAATCATGTAAACAAGGATTTAAATATACCTTTTAAACACCAAAGCGTTCCGCACGTGATCTGCTGCGGGTCACAACCTAAGAAAAAATTTTCATTAGTTCAAGATATTTTGGATAAAGACCAATTATCAAATTTTTTAATCTTAATAAATTCCGGTCCTTGCACAGCATGACATCATTTGTTAAAGGAATGTTACTCAATGCATTTGTGCTTGAAAATGACATTAATGAAATTTGTTTTCATTTAATGGAATACCCGCATCACATCGCGGTAAAAACTTTAAATCGTGCTAATATGGAAATGACTTCTCAGATTACTATTGTGTGTTTGGATCAAATCGGAAACTTTAACATTACTATGTTCTTATTTTACAGGTTTGTTTACTTTTTCATTGTTCCCGGGTGAGGGCGTTAAAAAAAAAAAAATTTTTTTTAATTATTATAATTATTCTAATAATGATTTTAGTCAATGTAAGTTTAAAAAATAAAAATTTTTTTTTGACCCTGGCCTAATTTACGTAAGATTTTTTTTTTAATTATGATGTCACAATGCACAACTAAGATCATACGATTGGTTTTTTGATTTTATTCACATGATTTTCCATCAAAACAGAGTTGTTTTCATCAGAATATAATGTTCGAAAATGAAGTTTCTTTTTTTTTTTGTTTTTTTTTCTTTATTGTTTAATCTCAATGATTGTCCGGTATGCAGAACTCATGTAAGCAATTGTCTTCATTCCACTTTTTTTTTTAATTACACTACATCCCTCATTCTAAAAACTTCAATGAATTTCTAAATTAATATAAAAAAAATATATATATATCCCTCAAGGGATGAAGTTCTTTCCACGATTGGAAATATATGATCGATTAATTCACCTGACGTCATATCCTCTCTTTTGAATAGATCCCTTACAAATTACGTAAAGGTTGCATAATAAATAATCAATTTAAAATTGATAATATATATATATATTTCAAAAATATTTTTAAAAAAAATTCATTCAAACCTCGATCTTCATGATTTGTGTTTATTTGTGTAATACTTTAAGGATTTCTTCGTTTGAAATTATTGTACACATTTTTATAATAATATATTAAATACAATAATACATTTTTATATACCCAACGACCTTCTAAATATGTTATAACCCTGTTTAATGTATAAATGATTATATAAGATTTACCTGCATTTGTGATTCATTAAAATTTCTTATAAGTATAGGATGTTAATCCTAAAAATGGTCCTGACCTCTAAACTCTGTTGATAACGAATTCTTCCAAATGAATAATAATAACACGCACAAATCCCACGAGGCCCTCCCTATAAGGGTACCCTTTCCACCCCCAATCGGGGAAAGCGAACTACAACCTACCTTAAAAAAAGGTAAATTACCAATAAGAGCGACCAATCAATTCCTGCTCTACCGTACGGCCTATATCAAGACCATGCGAGAAAACGGATACCAGGATATCAACATGCGAGTTATATCGAAACTTGCTTCAGATTCATGGAATCTGGAGCCCCCCTTCGTCCAGCAGGAGTACAAGTCATTAGCTTTGCGGGCCAAAGGCCTGCACCAAAAGACTATTAAGTATTTAACCTCCCTTCATTTAGAGGATACGATCTCACAGCGTCCACTAGCGCCAATGCCAGTGACAAATGCAAACTCCCCTCCAGATATATCGACAGATCAAGTAGATCGACTTTATGTCGCTGACAATGTTCAGTCATCACAGCAAATTACAGAAAATGTTTTTTTCACCCCGTCACATTCGTCACATTCGTATTATATGATGGGTCAGATGGGCCAGATGGGTCAGGATAATTCATATTATCCTATCATTGACATTGACAACGGTTATTTACCGTATTATGAATATTATATTTAATTCTGACTCCTTTTATACCATATGTAAATAAAAATTTTATGACAAATCATGAATCAAACGAATCAAACAATTATGTTTCAATAAGGTTAAGGGTTGATCAAAAAACAATCAAAATAATCAAAAGTTTATTTTTTGTTAAATTTTTTTTATTGCTTTCAAATTGTGGTAGTTATAAGTTTTTTATATTAACAAAATTATGGGTAGTTTAAGAAAAATATGTAATCATAAGAATTTCTTTTCTTTTTTAATAATAAACCATGTAAATGATACCTTACTATGAATGGTAAATTTGTTATTATGTGATTTTGTGACAATGAGGTAGTAATTTCGATGAACGAACTATCCGAGGGGCTTATGTTTCCATCCATTCAGCCACACTTACGGCTGTGTATTATCGCGAGTATATATATATATATTCATATTCATATTTTAAGAGGTTCAATTTTTTTTATCATTATATTTTCTTTTGTTAATATATTATTTATTTATTTGTTTTTTAAAAAAAATAAATGACTTCCTCATTCATTTTAAATACTTTGTTAATTTACTTGACTATATTCACTTTCTACGCAAGTACATGGCCAAATCACGCAGGAACTTGTGACGTTAAAAAAGTGGATCAAAGTCCGCATGCCGGAAATAAAGGAGAAAATATTGTACAAGGAAATGGAGGTTATAATATTACGGTCAAGAAAGAAAATGATCATTACCTTTTAACTCTTGCCGGCCCTGAAGCAATTCGCGGTCTTCTTGTTTATGTCGAGGATAAAGATGGGAATCGTTTTGGTGAATTCACTTTAGATAATAATTTATTGCAATACAAGGACTGTGAGGGGAAAGGAAAAAGTAATACCGTAACTCACACTTCAAAAGATCCAAAAACCCTTCCTTTGGAACTAAAATGGAAACCGGATAATTCCTTTGGTGATGCGGTTGTTCATTCTGTTGTAGTAGTTGACTTCAAACATTGGTATCATCTTGATGATGTGAAGTTTTCATCCTCATAAAATGGGTCCACATCTTTCTTTATCCACGTATTTATTTGTTTTTTTTTTTCAACTTAGATCGCGTAAGCGAACAAAATATTTCTTTATCTATAGCTTTTGCTGTAGTTTATGGAATTTTTTTTTTGAAATGGAGATCCAAAAATTAATAAATAAATTAGTTAATTGTTTTTGTTCTTCGGTAATAAATTTTTTTTTTAAAAAAAAAAAACTCGTCATGAATGTCAACTTACAAACGTGGCTCGTGTAACGTAAATGTAATTATCAAATGAGTGTTTAAACCGAACCGATTGGATCGTCGTCTATTTTTATTATTGTCTTGAAAAGTTGCCTTTCTTCATGACCTTTTACATAGAAATAGTAATTTAAATTTTAAAACAAGTAATTATAGTTATTGCGATAAAATGTTTTAATAAAAATTTCATTCTCACTTTTAAAAAAGGATAATGGACTGCTTAAGGCGGAAGTTTAGATATATCGATATGCTTTAAGTATCTGATTATCTTAGAGAGGTGTGATATTAGAAGTGTATATTACCAACACGAAATTTTTAAAGTATTAGCAATTTTATCGGTAGCCTTTATTTTTATAGAAATAAAAATAAGCATGGGAATGGTTTTTCATGACTATATAATACTTAAATGAATGGTTTATAATAATAAATTGCAAAAATAGGTTTGGTAAAAATTCAATATTCTATTTTTTTAAAAAATAAAAATAAATGGGACCAACTGTTTCATTAAAAAATTTTGAACCATTGTTTAAAAAAGCCAATGAATCACGAAATTATAGAGCTCAAACTCGAGAAAGCTAGCCAAATAAAGAAGTTATGAACGAGGCACTAGCACATAATTAAAGAATGTTTTGAAGAACTAGGCGGATTATCTTTATGACTTGTAAAACTAAATGTTAGCCAATAAAGAAAATTTCCAAGCTTATTATTTTTTTTTTATTTCCATTTTTTTTTTTTTTGTTTAAAAAAATAAATTTCGTTTTTTAAGATATCATTTTTTGAATAATGACGAAATTTTTTTTTCTAAGAAAACAGATCGACCGATTATTTATATTACATCCATTCATATTAAAACAAATTGTATATCCAATGTTCCCTTAATTAGGTCAGTTGGCGTAAAAAATTTAGACTCTGAGTTACAAAAAGGGGATATAGTGTGTCCTAAATGAATCTCTCTCACTTTATATATCTTATACAATAAACTTTGGTCTTAACTTTATTTCATTTGTTATATTTTGTAAAAAAAAAAAAAAAAAGGAATGAAAAAAAAAATAATTATAAATTCATAATACTACTGATATAATTAATAATTTATGTATGAATGAAAAGAATCCATTTATATATTTCACCCATTTTTTTTTTTTTTTTAATATAACGCCCACCTTGCATTTGATCTTCGTCAGAAATTAATTAAAAAATTATGTCAGATTATGTACCCCTTTTAAAGCGCCCAGTTATGCCTCGTATAACCCACAAGGGCTGTGCTTTTCTAAAACCCACATGTTAACCAAATGACCAAAAAAAAGCATTGCTCACGTGACATTATTGTAGAGAATGATTTACAACTGATTTTCTAAAACGAGGTGTTGATCTAAATAAATTAAATTAAAAAAAAAAGATTGATAATATCAAATATGATATAGTTTAAATTGTTTAAATTAGCATTATAGATACATTATTATTAAAATATTATATATAAAGATTATTATAAATATATATGAAAAATCCAAAAGTCAAAATGAAAGTCAAAATGTTTAAAATAATATCAATTTTTCATATAATAATTACTATTCAATTTTTTGTAACTAATGATACCTGTCTAAACACTTTTTTGAAAATTGTAGTTATGTCAAAAGAATTCGTTTCTTTTTAATTCAAAAAATTCAAATAAAGTTAAATATAATTTTGGCAATTAAGTAATATAGTTTCATCATTTATAAAAAACTATTTTCATCAGTTTCATCATATTAAAAAAGGTAGTTTTGTTAAGTATCACTACTTGTAACTATATAGATCAATTTTGAATTTTGACAGAGCAAAAATCTTAAAAGTGAGATATGTTACAGAATGATTATAACAAGAAAATGTGGTAAAGTATAATCAACATATTTCACTAAATTGATCTATTAAAGAAATTACACAAACAATTATATAGATAAAAAAGCTATAATTTATAGATTTTAAATCAATTTATTTTAAAAATTTGCAATTGAATTTTGAAATCCAACCAAGTAGAATTTATTGAATTATAATTTTAGCCAATAATTTAATCATGATTATCTTGAGATTAGCTAATTTAAAATTGATGAATTGTAGTATTTTAAACCTGTTTAGTTATAATAATCAAAAGATAATAATTATATGAGAAATAGAATATATTGATTTAATTAAGATTATTTATTTTATTTTAAGTTTTTTTTAATATAAAAATTATGTGATATAATATCACTTTAACTTTTATTTTAACTTTAACTTCTAAAAGCCAAAACAGATTTAATACAAAATCCTATCACTTGAAATCATAATAGTATATTAGCTTAATAGTTTAAATTCTAAAATAGTATAATCTCAAATTATTATAATTCTAAATCCAATAATCTTAACAAATCATAATTCCAAAATATCAAAAATTTTAAATTGTTATAATCCTAAATTTTATAAAGAGACCTTGAATTATTATTACATCTTACATACTATATTCAAATATTTTTATCTACTAAATCATTTTACTTCATTTATCCAACCTTATTTATTAACGTAAATAATTACTATATTAATTCTAAAACATTTAAAAAATATTAGCAAGAATTAAAAAAGGTTCATGCTATTACTTTTAACATAACATTCTATCTAATCAAGAAGTATTAGAAGCAATAAGGTCAATATAAGATCATCATCAACTTTGAAAAGAAAAGAAAAAATCAAATCCGTTGATTAATATCAAAATTCATCTAATGATTATTTTAGTGATAATCTAATTCCTATTAATGAGGAACTGATTGATGTATTAAAGAAATGAAAATAATATAATAAGTTTTATGATTCTATTTATAATAAATTAAAACTAATTCTAATTGAAGAAAAAGAAAAAGTTGATGATATATCTACAATCACAGGTTTAGTGATAATGATTATAAGTAAAGATGGTTTCCATAATTATTTTTAAAATTTTAACTAGTTGCAACTTAAGTTACAACACTTTGAGTTGCAACATTTTATGAATTTTTATATTAAAATAAATTTACAAGGAGTTGCAACTTACTGAGTTGCAACTTCTTAATTATGGTGCTCATCTTTAATTGTGAATTAAGTAAAGATAATATTCTAGTTAAGCAATTTACTGCTCCTGATTTTAATGATCTTAATGAATCAGATTATGAATATACTAACAAGAATGTTAACTTTAATGATCTATAGATATTGTTATAAATATTCAAGTTTTAAATAAGATTTTGCTCTTATAATATTACTATTAATTCACTTATTAAATTTTTAATATGATTTTATTAAATGCTGATCGATCATACTTTAAAAACTTTCTTACAAGTTCTTAAATAATAAAAAAATGATAGGAATTAATAAATAAGTAAAGATATATGTGATATATTTAGATTTCAATATATTATATAAAATTTTAGAAATTTTATAATATTGAATAAACAGTTAAATAATAGGTTTAATTAAATACACTCATGTAAAATTTCCAAATCATCTAAAAAAAGGCTAGATAAATCCTTATGTAATAAAAATAATAAAACAAATATTGATAGTTAAAGATTATATTAGAAAACTAAAAATGGGTTTTTCTTTGTCAACTTTAAAGGCTTAATTGATTATAATGTATCAGTGACTAGAATTTGAATCTTTTTTGAAAAAATAGACCAATCAGGATAATACTAAATTTATCCTTTAAATTGTAGGATTTCATAAGCAAATTTGCTTACTTATTTACTATAAATTCTCTTTTGATTTACTTTTATAAATAATTAATATTTTTAAAAATTTTTTTTTTAAATTAATTATATAAATATGTAATATATTATAACAAGTTTTATCTTTTAATTATATAATAAAAATTTAATGTTACTTAGAAGCTAAAAAATTTGTAATTTTTTTAAAAAAAGTATTTTAAAAAATTTCATGATTGATCTATGATAAACATTTTAAAATTTATTTTTAACTATATTAATCATAATAAAATATTATAAAATTACTTATAAATAAAATCTTTTATTAATTCAATTAGTATGTAAACATATAAATTTTTATAATAAATTTCTTAAAACTTAATTTTAAAATTAAATTATTTTTAAAAAACTTTTTAAAAAACTTAAAATCTTTGTTAATAAAATTAATAAAATATATATTAAACTATATATTTTATATAGTAATGATATTAATAAAATTAATATTTAATATTTTATAAAAAAATTAATACTTTTTTTAATTTTGCAAACAAATTTGCCTGCTATATAATTTAAAAAATAATGATATTTATGATAGAAAAATTTGAAAAACTTTTCTAACATGATTTGATACATCTGATTTTTCGTATTATTTATATCAGAAACTGCTAATTCATATTTAGAAATTATGATAAATCTCAATTAGTTCTAACTATTTGAATCATTATTATATAGTAGTAGCATAGTATATGATATTATATGTAACTTTTTACGTAAAATTTGATTAAAAAGAAAAATATATTAATATTTGAATTACTACCAGATCCTAAAGAAGTAAAGATACATCTAAAGCTCTGAATTAGATCAGATTAACCTGTGATCTGACCTGACTTGACCTAAAAATCCTGGTCAGGTAAACAAATTTTCAGATTAACATCAGATTAGATCAAGCTTATGATCTGACCTGATAAAATTCAAATCAATCAATCAAATTAAATAAAATAAAATATTTAAAAAAAATTATTATTATTTTTTTTAAAATATCTTTAATTTTATTTAATATACTTTCTTTTTATATTTTAATA